TTACACCTCAATGTAAAGAAAACAAAAATCTTCACAAAAGGATCAATAAATAGCATTATGATAAATGGAGAAAAGACTGAAATTGTAAACAATTTCATTTTACTTGCATCCACAACCAACATTCATGGAAGCAGGAGTCAAGAAATCCAAAGACAGATTGCATGAGGCAAATCTGCTACAAAAGACCTCTTTAAAGTGTTCAAAAGCAAAGTGCACCTGGCCCAAACCATGGTATTTTCAATTGCCTCCTATGCGTGTGAAAGTTGGACAATGAATAAAGAAGACTGTAGAAGAATCGATGCATTGAATGACGGTGTTGGTGAAGAATATTGAAAGTACCATGGACTGATAGAAGAACAAGTAAATCTGTCTTGGAAGAAGTACAGACAGAATGCTCCTTAGAAGTGACAATGGCAAGACTTCCTCTCTCATACTTTGGACAAATTATCAGGAGGGACCAGTCTTTGCAGAAGCCTATCATGCGTGGTAAAATGGAGGGTAACCAATAAAAAGGAAGACCCCCCACCAATGAGATGGATTGGCACGGTGGCGACAACAATGTTCAAACTTAGTGATGATTGTGAGGATGGCGCAGGACCGGGCAGGGTCTTGTTCTGTTGTGCCTGGAACCGACTCAATGGCACCTAGCAACAACAGGAAGTGGAGGCCAGACAGCTCCTTCTCCGACGAGGACTTGTGTAGGTGCTGGAAACCAAAACTCAGATCAGTTACTATTGAGACACTTCCAATTCCTGGTGAGCCCTGTGTGTCAGAGTAGAACTGTACTCTGTAGGGTTTTCAATAGATAGCTAGCCAGGAAGTAGATAGGCAGACCTTTCTTCTGAGGTACCTCTAGATGGACTTGAATTTACAGTCTTTCAGTTAGCAGTCAAGCGCTGAACTTTTTTTTTTTTTTTTAAAGGTTCGATTTCTGTTGTTGTTGTTGTTCTTGTTAAGTGTCTTCAAGTTGGTTCAGACCCAAAGGGACCCTGTATAGGGTTTCTGAGGAGTGGCTGGTGAGCTTGAACCGCCGACCTTGCAGAAAGCACTAAACTTTTTGTACCACAGACGTTCAAAACAAGGACCACTGAGCTCGGTTCTCACCCAGGTGGCCTCCTGACTTAGTGATAAGCATGTGGACAAGGAGGGAAGAGGATACAGCAAAGATGCATTGGTTGGTTGTCTGGTTGGTTGCTTGGCTGGCTGCTTGATTGGTTACTTGGTGGGTAAGTCCTGCCAAGTCATTTCTGACTCACAGCGACACTGTGTAGGGTTTCTGAGGCTATAAATCTTTGTGGGAGGAGAAAGTCTCATCCTTTTCCCAGCATGGATGCCCAAAAAATGACATTTTCAAAGGAAATCACTTCTTCCTTGTTCATTTACACAACCAACTGCCTGTTGTTTACATGAAGCACTGATTGGTAGTTTGTTCCCTCAGCGTAACAAATGAGAGAGGATCATCATTTCCAACATCACAGGACTCTGACTCATGATGGTATCTGGGCTTGGGAATCAGGGGGACTGGGATCAGATGGCTCAGCCATCACCACCCACAACTGATCTTTGCCTCTGCCGGTGACAATACCCCATCTCTAATGTCGGGCACAACCTTCCTTCCCTCCCTTCTAGAACCTGTACCCTTCCCTTGGTGGCCTCAGCACTCGGGTCTTCCCTCTAGGGGAGTAAAGATCACCAAGTTCTGGTCATTCAGGTGCTGAGCTCCTTGAGATGAGCATGGGACCACATGTGAGTCCTTCCAGATCAGTGACATGTCAGTCATGATTTGGCATCAGATGTGGATTCTTATCCTAGCACTTTCCCCTCTGGGTAATGGGGTGACAGTTCTCCCTACTTCACAGGTTTGAATGGTACACTCTTTCAAAAGCACAGATGCGTAGTAAGTGTTCAGTAACATGTAGCTGCTATTTCCTTCCTGGCTTCTAATTCCTGACCTGACTTAAAGATTTCAAAGCTTAACAGATAGACCCATGAACGAATCAATTCAGTAACTACGGACTGAGTCGCCCACGACAACAGCTGGTGATGGTCCACGTATGGGCTGCTTTACAGTCCCCAGTGCCAAGTACTTTATTTGCTTTGGCTGCCTTCTCTCCCACTCGACTGGCGGCTTGTTTGGGAGATAGTCTGACAGCCGGTAAGCCCCTGGGATCCCTGGGATTGTCAGTCAGACTGCTCAATTCCAGGCTGAGGTACTCCTTAAAACAGGATGATCTTCCAACAGAGCGCCTTCCACTCTGCTCTGGAGGACAGATCTGGATGCATGTTGCCTCATCTCTGTTGTTGCTGTTGTTACTAGTTGCCATCAAGTTGGCTCTGACTCAGTGATCCCACATACAACAGAACAAAACACTGCCCGGCCCTACACCACCAAGGCCATTGGTGTGCTAAGTCCACTGTTGGAGCCTGTTTGTATTGGAGGTGCGTGCCTTTCACCTCCGTGGCTCATCTTCCGGCACAATATCAGACAATGTTCCCTCAGGATCTAGAGGGGTTTTATTGGCTACTTTTCAGAAACTGACCACCAGACTTTCCTTCCCAGTCTGTCTTAGTCTGAAGTTCTGCTGAAACAAGTCCACATGGGTCACCCTGCTGGTACTTGAAAGATTCCAGCTCCACAGCAAAACACAAGCTGCCTCAATATGACAAAGTAACAGCGTGGTCTCTGGCTGCTGGTCAGTAAGAGCGACCAAATGGAAAGAGCGGTTTTGAGTCCCATTAATTTCAGGACTACTCAAAGTACATCAGACTTAGATTCTGAATGTGGGTCTCAGGTATGATCCAAGACGGACCAGCCATACTTGGACCCAGGCATGACATTTGTTAGACCACAGTGACTCATGCCGTATTCTAATAACCAAGGAAGCTACAAAGAGACATCATGTGACACTGTCGTGGGAAGCAGCAAAGTATCAGGCTTAAGTAGGAGGGCTCTGCTCTGCAGTCAGCTGTGTATGGGCTCAGTTCCTGTGTCACTTGCCAGCTGTGTAACTTGGGGACAAAGTTTCAATGTCTCTGAGCTTCAACATGCTTGTCACTAAAATAAGAGCAGGGCAACAAAGATTGAATAATAAAGTGACTAGAAAACACTTAGACAGTGCCCAGCACATTGTAAGTTCTCCATTGAGGTCTCTTGCAATGACAATAATGATGATGATGACAGTGGTGAAGGTGTGCAGGTGATAGAGGTGGTTGAGGTGGTAGTAGTAGAGTTGGTCACGATGGAGGTGAAGGTGAGACAATGATGGTGGTGGTGGTGGAGGTAGTGAAGGTTATAAGGGTGGTGGAGGTGATGGAGGTGGTAGAGTTGGTCATGATGGAGATGAAGGTGAGACAATCATGGTTGTGGTGGTGGAGGTGTTAGTGGTTAGGATGACAGAGGTGATCAAGGTGGTAATGATGGTGGTGATGGTGGAGGTGATCAAGGTGGTAATGGTGGAGGTAGTGAAGGTTATAAGGGTGGTGGAGGTGACGGAGGTGGTAGACGTGGTCATGATGGAGGTGAAGGTGAGACAATGGTGGCAGTGCAGGTGTTAATGGATCAGAATAGGAGCAGACAGGGCCCCTTGGCAGATTGTGTGCACAGTAATTAGGAACTGACTTTGCAAGATTGCAGTCACATGGGCATTTCCACACTTCGGAGTCTCTACATGCATCATAAAAGCCATTCTCCACTCTCTAAGGAATAGGATTCCCTCAGTCATGGGTCCACTGGGCACCTGGGCATCTCCCGAGGTGAGTAACCCAGTCACCATTCTCGCTTATCCTCTGGAAGGCGCCCCTCTTCTGGACAAATAACCAAGTACTGGATGAGCAATGGGCTACTTGTTCCCTTCTTGTAGAAAGACCTCACTGCTGAGCTACCAAGGAGAGGCATGTATATGGCAATTTGTCCAGGATCCTGTGCTCAGTCACTCAGCCCCCAGGGACCCATGTTGGGCATTTGCACACTGGTTTACTTAGAGAGGGAGCCATGAAGCACAGAAAGTCCAGTAAACTGCTTGGGGATCAATTCCAGGACCTTCACTCCAACAACAGACTCCTCGACAGATGGAGCACCTGCAGGGAACTGCTTCTAAATATACGAAACAGTTAAAAATACAATGACCCTGAAGTTTAAAACCTCGTAAGCTTTTACAACAGGACTATCCAGTTCATTCTCTAGCTCTGAGAATTTCAGAAGCCTGACAAGCAAGAAACTGGAGGAGGAAGAAATCTTTGTTTCTAACTTCTCACTTTCTAGAATCCCTTTCACATCTCTCATTCCCCATGATTCAGTAGGCAGCACACAGTTTGACACAGGAGGAAACTGAGGCACCAGCAGTCACCACAGTGCGGGGAGGAGGCTTCCATTCCCCAGTGATGAGCTGTGACACATTACACTCAGCTGTGTGCAGCTTGTTTTCCCTGATCACTAAGAGTGACAAAATCACAGGTGAAAGGTGTTCCACGTAGTGAGAAGCCTAGTACATACTTAGTCCCTTCTCTCCCCATCCCATCTCCACTACCAGGGAAGGAATCCAGGAGAGGAAAATGAGAGGGAACAAGAGACACAAAGCATGGCTTTGGCTGCGCAGGGTTTCAGTGCTCCATAATATTTTATTTTTCTGCTTTGGAGTCTGAATTCTGGTTGATTCATCTTAAGGTCCTTTTTCAAGACATGGCATCCTGGCCAATAAAAAGTCCCAGCTTTCATGATAGACAAACTCATTCTGGTTCCTCCCTTAGGCCCACCTACTTACTCCTAACACCAACAGATGGGCCACAAGGACACTCCATCCAGACAGTGTACCTGTTCTTCCAGCCAAGGGCACCTGGATGCTAAGCCATCATCCCACAGCTCCTCCTGCTGGGCCAACCCAGACCCAGACAGAGACAAGCTGGCAGAGAGATGGTGCATGGGGTTGGTGGGGGGGGGGGGGGGGGGGGGGGAGAGGAGACTCATAAGAAGAGATGCTGAGGGTCATAAGGCTAATACTTACAGGGCATCGATGGACCAGCCAATACGCCTTCTCCTGGCAATCCAGGGCGTATCTGTCTGCTTTGTTCCTTTCCTTTCCAGTCCTGAAAAAACAAAAGCCATATTTAAGGCCATTGGTGATGGTCTCCCCACTAGATACCTGGGCAACCCTCCCCAACTTGCCCAAATAATCCATGTTTGCCATAATAATAAAAATCGCAAATTCTAATGTCCCATTTGGAGTCCTGGTGTGGCGCTGTAGGATAAGCACTTGACCACAAGGTTGGTGGTTCAAGCTCACCAGGCGCTCCTCAGAAACCCTACACAGGAACCGACTCAACAGCACTTAACAGTAACAAATGTCCCACTTAAGTGTCTGGTCCACTTCTAACTACTTTCACACATAGTAACTAATTTAACACTTCCAGTGGTCCTTGCTCATGTCACAGAGCAGGGACCAAAGGCAAAGAGAAGTTGCATCTCCTGCCCGAGTGAGTGGAGGACGTGGAGGTGGTAGGGGCAGTGGGGAGGTGGAAGGTAGAGGTGATGGAGGAGATGGGAGTGATAATGATGATGGGGTGGTGGAGGTGGGGGGATGTTGGGAGCCATGGGATGGTGGGAGTGGGGTGGGGTTAGTGGAGGTGCTGAAAGTGGTGGGGGCTTTGAAGGGTAAAGGTGGTAGAGATGACAGAGTCATGAAGATAGTGGAGGTGTAGAGGCAGTGGAGGGCTGTGATGGGGAACTGATGAAAGTATGGGGATGTTGGAGGTGATGACGGATGGTGAGGGGGGAGGTGGTGGGGTGCTGGAGGGGGTAGGGGAAGTGGGGGTGCTGGAGGAGGTGGGGGTTATGGAGGAGGTGGAGATAGTGGGGTGCTGCAGGGGGTGGGGGTTATGAGGGGTGGAAATAATTGGGTGCTGGAGGGGCTGGAGGTTATGAGGGGTGGAGGCAGTGGAGGGGATGGAGAGGGTGGAGAAGGTGAAGGTTTGGCCCACCATCCACGCTTTCTCTGACATCATTGAGCTGCAATGCAGTCATATCCCATGACTAACCTTAAAATTAAATCAATTGCACTGACATCATTACTACAATGAGAAATGGATACATTTCTGGGATGGCATTTGACTACCTAGCTTTAAGAGAACTTTTCCCTGTTTTTGGCAAACACCACAATCACCAGCTGAACCAGTGGGCAGCGATCAAAGCTGGAGCTTGCAGTGGGGAAATGCCAGCTCTGGGAGTTCCCCTGTCAGCTCCATTCTGTCACTCCCTAGAGTTCATGCCAAGTCAGGACTTTGTCTGAGCCCAGCTGACAACTGAAAAAGCGACTTCTCTTTCCTCTTCTCTCTGACTCCCCGTCTCCCATCATGGCTAGGAGATGCTGGACTGTCCTTCCACAGGGGACAGGGAGTGCTCATTCAGGACCATTTCCACAACGACCTCAGCTCACACTCAGCATTGCTTGTTTTTCCAGGCAACATGGGATGACGCACATGTCCTCCACCAGGCCGAGTCGGTGGATTTATTTTCCAGCTAATGTTTTGTGAATAATACCCAGAGCGCCAGATGGGGTGAGCAGGGCCATTCCAGTCGGGTGTTTGACCAACCGAGTCTAGAAATTAAATATAAACACAGTCGCTCCAACTTCCCCTTGCCAACCTAACTGGATTTTCTCCCAGGCTAACAAACCCTTCTTCAGGAAGATGAGCCCCTGAGGGCCCGAGGCACGATGGAGTTTCCAGAACACTGAACGACTCTGTACATAGAGTCGATGACTACATTACCCCTTTGCCCCTTTGCTACATTGCTCCTTTGAAGCTTTACTGCTCAATTTTTCTGTGACATAGGTCACTGGAGAGGAACTGTAATCTGGGAGAACCAGTTAACTGATTTATTTTTAGTTTATTGTGTTATGGTTTGGTTTTTAAGAAACCGTATTCACTTATTAATCATTCATTCATTCATTTATTCACTTGTGTACTTTATTAAACTAAAGAGATATAGTCCCTGTCTTAGATGAGCTTGTGTTCCACACATTATACAAACAAACAAGAAATATTATTCTAGAAAGAAAAAGAAAACTAATTTCTACCTAGACTCATGTTGTTGTTATGTACCATGGAGTCGGTTCTGACTCATAGTGACCCTGCACAAGGTTTCCGAGGCTGTAAATCTTTACAGGAGCAGAAAGCCTCATCTTTCTCCCGCAGAACCACTGGTAGTTTCGAACTGCTGACCTTGAGGTTAGCAGCCCAATTCGTAACCACTACGTTACCAGAGCTCTTTACCTATATTAACTTATATTAATATCATGTTAAGTGTCGTTGAATTGGTTCCAATGCATAGTGATCCTATATAGGGTTTCCAAGGATCAGCTGGTGAGTTTGAACCGCCAACCTTGCAGTTCAAACCAACCTTGAGGTCAAGAGCTTGTCCTATGGCACCACACCAGGATTCCATATCAATATTTTAAAGATTCTTTATTATTAAGTTGTAAACAAACATAGATTACCCAGGTGAGGGAAATCAATGATGAACTCCCAAATTTCTGCCTCCACAAGGTGACCTTTTATAAGGCACAGAGAAAAGAATCACCTCCTACAATCACAACTGACAGGCTGACAGTAGCAACGCATCACTTACGAATGCCCAGCCTCAGAAGCAGGGAGGGGCTATTCCAAGTAGGGACAGACTGCTTCTGAGGCTCTTGGGGTATGACATCACCACCAGCCATTAAGGGGTGCCCAAGAAAGCTCTCGTGGGGGTTTCTCTTTATCCTGCTCTGGCTAGGGGAAGTAGCCCAAAGTCCATATTCAAATACACTAACTCCAGCAGTTTGGCCGTCAGAGGTGCATGAGGAACTCAAGAAAAATTGGTATGTGAACATTATAATGTAGGCCCAAGGTGGAATTAAGCACTGCCATTTTGGAGACGTGCAGACAAAATGCCTTCTTCAGATTTTTATGCTCTAAAGTTCTGGTAGCGTAGTGGTTACGAATCGGGCTGCGAACCTTAAGGCCAGCATTTCAAAACTACCAGCAGCTCCGTAGAAGAAAGATGAGGCATTCTGCTCCCGTAAAGATTTACAGCCTCGGAAACCCTGTACAGGGTCACTACGGATCGGAACCAACTCGAAGGCACTTAACAACAACAAAGCAATACAGAACTAAAACTGCCTGAAGTATAATAAGGAAACACTCAAGTCCAATCAGGGATGAACCTCTCTAGTGGTTTTTAAACATACCCATGAATTCTTCAACACTTTTTCCATTGAAATGTGAGTCTATGTTCCCTCCCCTTGAAACTGTGTGGGCTTTTGTGACTGTTTCGACCAACAGTGTAGGGCAAAAGTGGCACTGTGTGACTTGTGAGGCTGGACCATAAAACATGGGACAGCTGCCACTTTCCTCACTGGAATATTTGTTCTTGGCATTTGCTTGCAGCGACATGCAACCAATCCAACTGCTTGATGCAGCCATGTTGTGAGGAAGCCCGAGCTAAATCACATGGAAAGGCCCAGAAGAAGTAAGGGGAGACCAAGAAACATCCAGGAGTTCTGGTAGCATAGTGCTTATAAGTCTGGCCGCTAACGTCAAGGTCAATAGTTTGAAACTACCAGCTGTCCCACGGGAGAAAGATGAGGCTTTCTGCTCCCATAAAGATTTACACCCTTGGAAACTCTGTGCAGGGTTGTTATGAGTCAGAACAGACTCTACAGCACACAGCTACCATGAAGACACACAGCCAGCCCCCAGTTGCACGAGACCCCCAGCTCCTGTTGTTTGATTGCAACCACCTAGAGACTCTGAGCCTTCCCACCTCAGCCCTTCCTTACTTCCTGGCCCACAGAAACTGTGAGGGATCCGAAATCAACCGTTTATGTTTTTTGCCACTAAGTTCTCAGTGATTTTTTTTGCAACAGTAGCTAATCAAAGAATGTATTTGAGATAGGGACACTGGAACTGAGAACTCTGATCACTCTCTAGAAGGGAGGAATGTAATCCTATTTGTGTTTCAAAAATAGAGGCCAAATCGGAACAGGGAGGCCCCTTGGGAGGATACATCGATGATCCAACTGAAAGCGAAGCTGACTTGACTACGGTAGGAGGGAGGAGGCAAAAAGGGTCGAGCTAGCGGAAGGGATTTCACCAGCAGTAACGGGGTTAAATGACCCATCAGATAGAGGGGTGAAGACAGAAGTGGATGGTGGTTGTGTATACCGAGGTGAGAAAAGATATGATCAAATGTGGGCTGTGTCTCTCTCTTCTCTATGCCCAGTGTTTGATACATAAAAGCCCAATAAAGATTTCTCTTACTAGAAGGAAACAAAGAAGCGAGGTGGGCCAACCATAGGACAAACATGACCCCCTTTCACTCACCTGTACTGCTCCTTAGCTTGCATGATGACAAAATCCCACTTGTAGTTCATCTTTTTGTTCAAGAAATTGTAATTTTCCTAGGGAAGCAACCGAGGTAAGAACACTGAAGCCCATGATCCACGGGTGCGCATCAGAACAGAAAGTCCTACGTCAGCCAGGGTGTGCCACAGGTCCTCAGCAACACCAACCCAGACAAACCATCTCCCACCCAAACTTTGCAATGGTGTTCACTTAAAGGACCATCAGCACAGGACCTTCAGAATCCTTCACAACATGCTTCACTTTGCTTGGATTTGTTTTAAAAGCAAAACAAAACAATATATATATAGTCCCAATCTGATTAGGAAGAGAGACTGAGGGATAAGAAAGAGTATAGAAACCCTCAATGTTCATCCATCACGGAGCACTAGAATCATCTTTGTACCTTTTCGTATTCTTCTAAAATCCCCTTCTTCTTGATATTTCGCTTGGCTAGATAGATGGCTAGAAGAAAAAGCAGTGACATTTTCCATCATCATCATCATCATCATCACTAACAACCGAGTCTGCAGACCCCTATACATGAGGCAACTGTGCTCAGCTTGGTAGAGAGAATGCTCAGCCAACCAGATCCCTCCCTTCAGTTCATTCCCAACACAGATGTGAACTGACAGAAAAGATGACAGTAAGCTAAATGCCAGCAGGATGCAGCAAGTAAATAAATTGCAAGTTCAGCACTACTCAAGGCAAATATAGAGATCAAGATTTACCATAGTCTGTGTCTTCAGCTGGCCACTGCTGGGTGGGCCAGAAATAGGGGGTCTATAAAAGAAACAAGAGAAACCATGCTTAGACACTTGGTTGAGATTTCACACACTCCCAGCTCTGTCGTTTATGAGCTAAGTCTATACCTTAGCTCTCTCCACCATTTCAAAAGTTCTAATCTCTGTGAATTTGAAGTCAACCACTTATCTTTTTAATAAGATGACTCCCCGTGTAAGTAGACCCAAGGCCAAGGCCAAGACTCACCTGAAATCGGTAGAGGCTGCTGTCTGGCTTGAGAATAAGATTCTTTGGGTCTTGCAGCGGGTAAATGTAGCCATACTTGACAATAAAGTTGCCCAAGTTCTGGGCCTCTGAGGAGAAGCAGTTCAGACATGAAAGTTAAGAGAGAAGCCCAAAGACAGACGCCTCATTGCAGGGCCTCCACAGACTACCTCAAACTCTAGGAGATGCGGTCCAACCTATAGCACTGCATCTGAGTGAAGACAATGGCCCCTGGACATTACTATAGAAAGTATCCACTAGAGCATGTGAAAGAGAGAATACCCAACCACAATCCAGCATGACAACATGGTACATCTAGCATGGACCCTGGGAACCTGAAGTTAACCAATGCCATGGATTGATATAGGTAGTTTGAGGTGGCCCTTAGGGAGATCTTGCAGAAGCTTCCTCTGGTGATTGGGTCTAGAGAAGATCACAGGAATGGGTAGAGAATATTTCCATTTGGCCCATTCTCTTCTTCACTGAAGGAGATGTTATTGTCAATTTCTGTCTAAAATCTGTCTATGGGAAACAGTCACATGGAGCAAAGTGCAGGCGTTCCCAAAATATGGATGGGATGGATATGGCGGGCGGAAAGCAGGGACGCCATATCACTTAACAGGAAGTGCGCATATCCAAAGTATGGCTTGGGTTCTTGGTGTACCACACCTCACACCAGGTAGGCACTGGTCAAGAGTGCTTAGTCACGAGGGAGAGGGACTGAGGGCCTTCTTCCTGCCAAGCTGGGCCAGGACACCGTATAGACTGCTTGCTGGATCAATCTCAAGGAAGCAGGGAAGAGACTAGAACACAGTGACCCACACAGTACCTCACAAGGCTCCAGAAAAGTCTGCATGGGCTGGTCTACGTGTCCCACCTCCTTCCTCTGGTTGAAAAGGCTGGCCAGTAACCAGTGGACAAATCAGTTATTCTCTTTCTTGCTTCCTTCCTCAGAGAAGGGTTTTAATGATTTTCTAACCCTATTTAGGGAGTCCTGGTGTGATGCTGTAGGATAAGCACTGGACCACAAGGTCTGTTTGAATGTCAAGCTCTGCACCAGGACTCCCAAATAGGGAACTTTGTTGTTTAGTGCCGTTGAGTCAGTTCAGACTCAGTGACCCTGTGTAGGGTTTCCAAGGAGCAGCTGGTGGATTTGAACTGTCAACTTTGTGGTTTACAGCCCAGTGTTGATTCTACAGTGCCACACCAGGAGTCCCTGGAAACCCAATATAGGGTCCCTATGAGTCAGAACCCATTCGATGGCAATTAACAACAACAACAACAAAGTGGGATGCACTGGACTGTTAACTACAAGGTCATTGGTTGAAAACCATCAGCTGCTCCTTAGAAACCCTATACAGAGTCACTATGAATCAGAACAGACTCCACGCCACACAACAACAGTAACACCACCCCAAGCTCAGTTCTGCCTGCATTCCAGGTCCAGATTCCCACGCCCCTTCCCTTCACTTTAAATCCCACACCCTTCTAGTTTGTTTGGAAACAAAGCCTTGTTTCTGGATTTGCAGCAGTTAAAAGAAAACCTTCTTGGTTCTTTTCTTCAAGGTCGTTTTGACCAAAGCACCAATGAAACCTGCAGCTTTCCCCACTGGGAAAGCGATTCCAACACTACCAAGTTCCAGGTTCACCTGCTCTTTGAGAAAATTCCCTTCCGGACCTCACTTGTCCAGCCCACTTTCTCCATCATGACCACACCCACATTTGTAATCTTATACCAACACCCTTCACTCTAGTGGAAATACCCGTCCGGTCCGCAGATGCTTTCCATTCCAGCCCAGCCTTCAAATCGCTGCCAAATCTCCTACTTTCAATATGGTAATTGCCATGCCCAAATATGTCTCCTGACTTTCTCCTGCCTATCTGCCCAATGGGAGTCCTAGTGTGGCACTGCAGGATAAGCACTGGACTACAAATCACAAGGGTCACACTCACCAGCTGCTCCTTGGAAACCCTATACAGGGCCTCTACTGAATCGATGCCACTTAACAGCAACATCTCCCAGATGAAACTGGGGAGCCACAAATATTCTTGATACAGTCCCCACTCCACACCCAGCTAAAGTCATTACTCCCAGTTTCCCTCTGCTATGGATTAAATTGGGAATTCCCTCTGCTATGGATTAAATTGGGAACCTGATGTGGTGCTGTAGGATTAGCACTGGACTGCTAATCGCAGCTTCAGTAGTTCAAACCTACCCATCACTCCTCCAAAACCCTAACAGGGGTCGCTATGAATTGGAAACAACTCAACAGCATTTAACAATAATATGAACTAAATTATGTCCCCCCAAAATGTGTGCTGTAAATCCTAACCTCTCGGCCTGTGGTTACACTCCCAGATAAACCCAGATTGCCTTGGAGAGACTGTTCATAGAATTAGAGACATCAGCTGCAATTCTGGTGAGGGTTCAGAGGAAACAAGGAGAGCAACCTCAGAGAATGCATATGGCGCCATTATTGCTAGAAATGTGGACACTAAATGTGCTTCTGGTGAAGTTTTAAAAGGAAATGATGACGATGATGTGATTGAAAATGGAGGAAATGTGATGCTTTCTATGCATCAGTAAATATTTCTGAATCGTGTTCAAATGTTCCGTAGAAGGTTGAACGTGTAAGAGATGAACTTGGGTATCTGGCTGCAAGATTTCTTAGCAAGATCTTAAAGAGGCCATGTGGGTCCTCCTTACTGCTTATAGTAAAATGTGTAAGGGAAGAGGTGGACTTAAAAATGAACTGTACAAAATGAAGACAGAGCTTAAAGACTCGGAAATTTTTGTGGTACAATGGACACGTGTTCTAGAATTTTCACCAACGAAGTGGCTTTAACCTTTTGTTAAAGAAATCAAGCCTGGGATTGATGGATCTAGCCAACTACTCTCAGCAGAAAACCCATCAGCTTAGACTGAAGGGGGCAGAGAAAGTCTGAGCAAGGACGCTGTCTACTTCTTGGAATTCTACAAGCATGAAACAAACCAAAGGAGCTACCTCTGTTGTCCTCCAAGAAAAGAAAAGGACCATCCCTGGAGTGGCTGCGATGTTGGAAGGAACACAGGAAGTAGGACCTTCTTAACTTCAAAGTCTGGGACCATGGAGGTTTCAAAGAGTTGGATCTTCACCAACTCGGCTGCAGAGTGTGGGACTGACATTCACAAATCTCAGAGGGGTGAGGTTGCTGCCAGAGGGGTTAGGAATGCCATGCCCCAGAGGCAGAAGGACTGGGCCTGCCAGGACCAAGGGAGTAGGGACACCACGCAGACAGACCAGAAGAATGGGGCTGCCCAAAGTCAACAAAGTAGAGTTGTCGTCCCACTGGGTCTAGAAGGAGGCGTTGAGGCCCAGGGCAGAGAGACATCTACCCAGAATCCAGAAAGCATGGCCTACACCCTTTGCCCAGTTGGCTCCAAAGAACAAAAGGTTAGTTTCAAGCCTTGAGAGCTAACGTCATTTGTTGTGCCAGGTTCTGGCCTTGCCTGGTACCTATTATCCCTTCTTTCCCTTCAATCTCTACCATTTACAATGAAAATGTCACCATTGTACTTTGGAAGCAGATAGCTTGCGTTCTAGATTTTACAGGTTCACAGAGGAAGAGGAATTTTTCCCCAGAATGGAACACGCTTAAAGTCTCACCTATATTTGATTGTAGGTGATTCAGATTTGGAGTTGATTTAAGATTCTGGGGATGATGTGATGGGGTGAATGTGTTTTGCATTCTGCGAGGAACTGAATTTCAGTAGGCAAAGGGTAGAATATTATGGATTGAATTATGTGCCCCAAAATATGTTGTAAATCCTAACTTCTCTATACCTGTGGTTGGAGTCCTGGTGTGACGCTGTGGGATAAAGCACTGGACAGTAAGGTCAGTATGAACCAGACAGAAGGTTTGAACTCACCAGTTGCTCCTTGGAAACTCTATATAGGAAACAGAACAGACTTCTAGGCACTTAAAAACAATATACCTCTGGTAGCGTAGTGGTTCCGAGTCGGGCTGCTAACCATAGGTCAACAGTTCAAAACTACCAGCTGTTCCACAGAAGAAAGATGAGGTTTTCTGCTCCTATAAAGATTTACAGCCTCAGAAACCCTGTGCAGGGTCACTATGAGTCAGAACCAACTCCACAGCACATAACCACCACCATAACCCCATTTGGGACTAGGTTGTCTTTGTTATGTTAATATGACAGGATTAGTGTAGATTGTGTTTTAAGTCTATCTCTTCTAAAATGTAAAAGAAATTCACAAATGAGCAGAGCAGAGATGGAGGAAGAAAGATGCCAAGCCACAAGAAAATCTTCCAGGAGCATAAACTCAAAGACACAACTCTGTCCAGAACTGATAGACAGAAAATGTCTTCCCCTAAAGCTGGCACCCTGAATTCGGACCTTCAACTTCCCAAACTGTGAAAGAATACATTTCTATTGGTTAAAGCCATTACTTGTGGTATTTCTATTATAACAGCACTAGAGAACTTAAGACCCCTTAGTTCTCACCCCAATTCTTGTTCCTCCATTTCTGTCACATTGTTCTTGTTTCTCCTTCAGGGACCACCCTTCAAGTTCCTTTTCACCAATCTACAAATATCCTTTCTTTTAAGACTGTATTCATCACCCCCCTCCAAGAAGCCTTTCCTGGTTTACCCTTCTCCAATTACAATGCTACTGGCACTCTCTCAATATTTTGTCCCCAAATAATCATGTAGTATAGTGGTTACGAATCGGGCTGCTAATCTCACGGTCAGCAGGTCGAAACTACCAGCTGTTCCGTGGGAGAAAGATGAGGCTTTCTGCTCCCGTAAAGATTTACAGCCTCAGAAACCCTGCACAGGGTCGCTATGAGTCGGAACCGACTCCATGGCACATAACAACAACAACAAATAATCATGCCTTCATTTTTTATTCGGATGGTTTTTATTCAGATGAAGGTCTTATCTCAACAATTAAAATGTCAATTTCTCAGACACAGACTAAACCTTTGTAGAGTTTCTACCCCCCAAGATTCCAGCATGGTGCTGTACACACCAGCTGCTGTTGAGTTGACTCCAATTCATGGGGTCCCCAGAGGTGGCAAAGTATAACTGTGCTCCATAGGGTTTCCAATGGCTGCTTTTGGGGAGCAGATTGCCAGATCTTCCTTTTGGGTACCTCTCGGTGGATTCGAACCTCCAATCTTTTGGCTAGCATCTAAGCACGTTAATTGTTTGCACTACCCAGGGACTCCGCTGTGCAGACAGCGGTCTTCATTAACCAAGTGCAGGACCAACTCTCACCCAGATTGGAGATCCACAGCCGATGGATAATCCACTGTAGAACGTCATTTCCTGTAAAACAAGAATATTTGGCCACTGGCATGGCGTCCTGAAGCACGTCCGGCCTCTACCCACTCCCCCACCCCCACCCCACCCCCACACACACATCGTTGGCCTTCTTACTGCTCAGAACTAATCTTGTCCCTGTCCTGCTCCAAACCTTCAGGGACTCCCCATTTCATTCAATGCAAAGTCCACAACCTGTCACTGAAGGACACCTATAATCTGTCTCTGGGCAGATTCCCAGCTTAATCTCCCCTCCACACACTCTCTCTTGACCTCCCTTCCTTGTTTATTATCTGCAACCATTTGTGCAGGGAGTGTTATTCATCACCAGAAAGTAAACAAACTAAGTCTTAATGAAAATGCACACACGGAAGCGGCTGTTTGCAGGGCTCTGCATGGAGCTGGACACAGGAAGGAGAAGAGGCCGGATGCTAAGTGCATAGCAGAGTCCCTGGGCATGGGGGACAGGACTCTGCTGTGACCAAACTCTGGAAGTTAGGGAATTCTAAATTCAAACCTGGCCTTCCAGATCTTTCTGACGATACCTTTGTCAAGGTGGGAGGATGATATGCATTTAGGTAACCACTTTGTAGGTTGATCTTAGCCTTAGAACATGGGTTAGAATCAAATTGCCAGTGAAGCAAAATTCCTCATCTTAGCTCCTACTTTCAAAGGTAGGATGAATTGTTTCAGCCTTACTATTTCCACTCTTCTGTAAATGCTACTCCGTGGTGTGCAGACCAGAGGGGACCCAGACAGACATTAGACTGATTAGCCCTCTCTTGCGAGGAGCCAAGGGGTTTCCACCCACTTGACTGTTTCCTGAAATAGCGCAAACTCGGGGATGGCGCTGCCAGTATCTGCACCCTGTGGCCTGGGCTGTCTGTTCACAAGCTGCTCAGGCTCCCACGTCAGCCACCTTCGTCTCCAGGAAGCCCTGGGTCACCTGTCCCCCCACGGAGCCAGATGGCAGATTACCCATTTTGGTATTTCTTAGCACGGACGTCATAGGACTAAGGCTTAGCTGGGATTCACTCTGGCAGGAGGCATAAGGGCAAAGAAGGCAGGGCTGCCTGTCTTGTCCAAATCCGGGGACCCTGTGAGCCCAGAATACAAAGAAGGCAAGCAGCTGTGGACCCCGTCCACAGCGAGTGTGGGCTCGTGAGTTGACATGTTGTTGCTAGTTACTGTGGAGTTGCCCCCAGTTCGTGGTGACTGCACGCGTAATGGAACAAACAAAATACTGCTTCATACCCTTGATTGTATTGGATATTGTGATCCCTATGGTCTAGCATAGTGGTTACGAATCGGGCCGAGAACCTTAAGGTCAGCGGTTCGAAACTACCAGCCGCTCCGCGGGAGAAAGATGAGGCTTTCTACTCCCGTAAAGATTTACACCCTCGGAAACCCTGTACAGGATCGCTATGGGTCAGAACCGACTCAACGGCACTTAACAACAACACGGTTCCCATAGGCTGATTTTTGCAAGTGAGAAGCTTACTTGCAAAAAGAAACTGATTCAGCATTATAACAACATGCAAGTCTCCACTGACACTGGACTGTACATGAGATGTAGTGACCAGGGATCGAACCCAGATCTCCCGAATTTGTTGTTGTTAAGTGCCATTAAGTCGGTTCTGACCCACAGCCACCCTGTACAGGGTTTCCGAGGCTGTAAATCTTTACGGGAGTAGAAAGCCTCATCTTTATCCCGCAGAGTAGCTGGTAGTTTCGAACCGCTGACCTTAAGGTTCGCAGCCCGATTCGTAACCACTACACTACCAGAGCTCCTGAATAGAAGGTGACAATTCCACCACTGAACTGTCTGGGCTCCAAACCCAAATTCAGTCACATACCAGCCAGGTGGCATGGGGCAAGTTGCAGAACCTCTTTGTGTTTTGATTGCCCCATCTGCAAAAACTGGATGGTGACCATTCACTGATGCAGCTCAGGGGGAAGGGCTAGCTCCCATGACCCGTGCAGCGTCCCCCAGGGCTGCGCACCTGCACGACAATTGATGCTGTTGTGCAGTGCCATTAAGTCGGTTCTGACTCCTAGCAACCCTGAAGAGGGTTTCTGAGGCTGTAAATCTTTGTGGGAGAGAAAGCCTCATTGTTCTCCTGAAGAACGTCTGGTGGGCTCAAATTGCCAATCTTGTGGTTCGAAGTGCAGTGCTTATCTGACAGAGGCAACCCACTCCTCAGGTGCACAATACTATTTCGCTTAAATCAATGATCGCCTTAGTCAGGGGTCGCTATTCCTGTTTTCCATATGAGAAAACAGACACTGGGGCTATACAGCTCATCAAAGGCCCTCCAAGGTGCCAGATTCACCATCCAGTGCTCTCTGCATAATGCTAGCTGGAGTCCGATAGTCAATCAAGCCTAACTGAGCATCCACTGGGAGCTCAGGTAAGCCCTGAGGTTATGCAATGAGTAGAAAAGATCTCTCCTCTCAAGGGCCTTTGGGTCCAATGGAGAATTCAGGCTGGAGAGGGAGGAGGGGGTCTGGATGCCTTCAGTATCTGTTGCATTTTAAATAGCAGTGGGGGTAGGGGGAAGCCCAAGAAGCCGGAATGGTTGGCCCGTCAGTCCCGCTTTTAGGGGAGCTATTCCGGTCTCCATTTTTCGATCTGATGTAACCATCTGAGGTGTGGTAAGTACTGACCTCTAGGATGTATGACACTGTAAGATAAGCACTGAATTGCTAACTGCCAGGTTGGTGGTTTAAACCCACCAGCTGCTCCTTGGAAACAGGATCGCTCTGAGTCAGAACTGACTCCACAGCACTTAGCAACAACAACAACAACAAAACAATGATGATGTGAATGAAGCAGGATGCAATTTGTAGGCGCAGGTTGTATCTTAAGTCAATCTCTTTGGGGATATAGGAAAGGCTGACCAAGTGAGGAACATGTCACTCAGGGATCATTGGGTACAAGTAACAGAAGACCAACTGGCTAGTTGAAGCCAAAAAATATATATGTAGATAGATGATAGATGGATGTATAGATCAAAATGCTATTGGGCAGCTCACACGCTAACATGAAAAGCTGGCTTGCAGAATGTGAGAGACCGGAGCGTTGTTGTTGTAAAGTGCCATTGAGTTGGTTCCAACTAATAGCAACCCTTTGCAGGGTTTCCAAGAGCAGCTGGTGGGTTTGAACTGCCAACCTGGCATTTCAAACTGACCTTGTGGTCCAGTGCTAATCCTACAGCTCCACACCAGGACTGCCATCCATAACACCTGCCGTCTAAGATACAGCTGTGGCACATCCTCCTGAAGGTATCACGTGACCCATAGTTTGATGACCACTGCACACAGTCTATGCCAGGCCAAGACCGACTGGTAGGATACATCACCTGTCATGGCGTGAGGGACACTGGTGACCAGAACTCTCTGGTTCTGCATTCTGACCCCCGTCTCTGGATTCTGCATGTCCTTCACTAGGGCTTCAATCTGTAAAACAGCAGAAAGGGCTGGCTGTGGTGAAGAATTTCCAAAGTACAAAAACACAAGAGAGTACAACCCAGTGCAGAAGAAGATGGGCATTAAATTACCAAGTGTGTACTTTGTGTACAAGTAGACTTTTCCAGTGTACAAGACTCAAGGATATTCATTCTGATGCAGAGGCTCCAGGGAGGCTTTTTATTTATTGTGAGCTGATGATAGTTTACATGGGAGAACATGGGCTTGACACCATGGTTTCACTGCAGTAATTACAATCTCCTCCGCACATCATCATTCAACAGTATTTGCTTCCATTACCTCTGTTTTGTTTTGTTTTTGGGGGGTGTGGGTATACACAAAAACACTCAGGAATATATAATAATTTAAACAACCAAAGGGCACATTCTGCAAGCCTGCCTCCTGCCCACCAGCACTCAGCCCTTCTCTTTCCATGAGTCTAGGGTCCTCAGCTGCTCCCTCCCTCCATGTCCTCATCTCTGCCTCCATCTCTGGTGTCTCTGCTTCTCTGGATAAGGTCCAACATTCCGCTTGTGCTCTTCTCCCTTGATGGTCCTAGGGTCCTCTGTTTCTGGACTGTAAGATTAACTACTCCCCTCTTTTTGTTACAAAACCTCTCCCTTTACAGTTGTGACAGTCGCAATTAGTCATGATAACAGTTACTCACTATTGAATCATAAGAATCTTATCCCCATCTCTTTTCACCAGATCCATCTAGATAAGATGGAAACTATTCAGTGGGGACTCTGTCTTTCCAGGGAAGCTTTTAAGATGGGATTTCATGAAAAAGGATTTTGTGGGACCAAAGTGACGGACCAGCACACATAAGGGCATGGAAAAGTCCTAGTGTGTGTGGAGTTGAAACTAGTGGGAGATGATAGTGCAAGGCTGCTGAGGGCTTGAAGGCCACACCTGGGGTTTGGGTTTATTCTAGCAGTGGTTGGTGGTTGGTAGTTATGTGCCATGGAGTCAGTTCCGACTCATAGCGACCCTGTACAGGGTTTCCGAGGCCGTAAATCTTTACGGGAGCAGAAAGCCTCATCTTTCCCCCATGGAACAGCTGGTAGTTTCAAACTGCTGACCTTGAGGTCCGCAGCCTGATTTGTAACCACTACACTACCAGAGCAGTGATTACAGAATACAAAATCTGGTTGGTGCTGAAGAGAACTGCTGGAGAAGAACATATTCTTCTGATATGCTAATGAGTCCATACCAGAGTAAAGACCAAACCATCAAACCCAATGTCTTCTAGATGATTCCAACCAAAGCAACCGTATACGGCAGAGTAGAACTGCCGCATAGGGTTTCCTAACCTGTAAGTCTTTACCGAAGTGGACTACCTCATTCTCCTCCTACAGAGTGGCTGGTGGGTTCAAACCACATAACTTTTGGGTGGTAGGCCAAAGCCACCAGGATTCAGTGCTTAGTACCATGGGAAAAATAAAAAGGTGAAAGGCATAGCCCCAGTCCTTAGAGAGTCGGGAAGACACGTTGTAGAAGAATTAAAAGATAAGAATTCACAAGTTAATACAACATGCAAACCTCAGTCTCCACAACCCTGAGACCAGAAAAGCTAGATGGTGCCCAGCTACCACTGCCAACTGTTCTGAAAGGGACCATGTTAGAAGGTTCTGGATAGAGTGGGAGAAAATGTGGAACAAAACTCAAAATCATAAAATAAGAGAAAAAAGACCAGACTCCTAGTCAATAGAGATCATGGAACCCCCGAGGCTATGACCCAATTTCCAGACTACAATGTTGTTGTTGTTAAGTGCCATGAAGTCAGTTCCGACTCATAGCGACCCTGTATAGGGTTTTCAAGGAACAGCTGGTGAGCTTGAACCACTGACTTTGCAGTTCAAACCAAGTTTGCAGTCCAGCGCATTAACCCACAGTGCCACCCCAGTGAACAATACACCAGGGAGGTATAGACTCCTTATGACATCCAAGCACTTGAGATCACAAGGACAGCATCTTCCCAAAGACAAAGTTCAGGAGGCAGGAAGGGATAGGAAAGAAGGAGGAATGGAAAGAGAAAACCCAGGGAGGAAGTGGGAAGAAGACATTGTAGGGACTGCAATCAATGACATGAAACAAAATGTGTATGAATTCTTGAATGGAAAACTGATTTGCTCTGTACACCTTCAACCAAATCACAACAAAAAGTTCACACAAAACCTAGGGCTCCAAGAGCAGAGAAGCTCAATTCAAACCCTTGCTGCTTTTTGCAGACGATAGGCCTTGCTGTTGTTGTTGTTAAGTGCCTGTGAGTTGGTTCTGACTCATTGTGACCCTGTATAGAATCTGGCAATGAGCCACCAATGACCTCCACTCTTCAAGTGTTGTTGTTGTTGAATGCTGTCAAGTCAGTGGTTCAAACCCACACTGAATAGGGCTTCCAAGGAGCAGCTGATGGGTTTGAACTATGGATCCTGTGGTTAGCAGTCCAGTGCTTATCCTACAGTGCCATCCCAGGACTCCCCATCTGTAATTGCTATGTAATAAATACTGACTGTGTGCTTATCCACTGCCATGGAATTGATTTCGACGCATGGTACTCTACTAAGCGCTTTAAATGTTTCATCTCATTGAATCTTCACAACATTCCTAATCTCTATTTTACAGAGAAATCAGTCCTAGTGAAATCTCTTCATTTTCCTAAGAAGTCCTTGTATGGAGCTATAGGATAAGCACTGGACTGCTAACTGCAAAGTCGAAGCTTCAAACCCACCAGCTGCTCTTTGGAAACTTCACTGAGGGGTAGCTATGAGTCAGAACCAACTTGACGGCATTGAACGTTAGCACTTGCCGAGTGGAGGTCATCAGTGGTTCACTGGTAAAGTTCTGGCCTTCCAAGCAGGAAACACAGTTTGTATTCCCAGACAATGCACCTTGTACACAACCACCATCAGGAGTGGAGACTTGAGCATTGCTCTGATGCTAAACAGATTTCCGTGAAGCTTACAGACTAAGACAGACTAGAAAGTCTTCTTTCTGGTAATCTACTTCTGAAAAGTAGCCAATGAAAACCCTATGGATCACAAGGGTCCGATCCATGACTCATTATCGGGGTGGAGCACAGGATCATCAGGGTCTCGGTCTGTTGTACATGGGGTCACTGTGGGTTGGGACCTGCTGAGTAACAGCCAACACAGTAACATCACCAGGGCACTGTCTCAGTTTAATGAGAGTCAGGAGTTAAAGTGCTTAGTCGAGTGCTGTGCATAGATGGTGGTGGTGGTGTGCCGTGGAGTCGGTTCCGACTCATAGCGACCCTGTACAGAGTTTCCGAGGCTGTCAGTCTTTACAAGAGCAGAACGCCTCATCTTTTTCCCGCAGAACGGCTGGTAGTTTTGAACTGCTGACCTTGAAGTTAGCCTTCCGATTCGTAACCAGTATGCTACCAGAGTTATTACCTAGTTAACTGCAGACTGATTTTAAGCCTTACAAAATTGGATAGCCGCCCCCCCCCCACCATGCAACCAGTGGGGTGGGAAGGGGTCCTGCTGAGACAATCAAGACAGTGTGCACAGAGAGCAAGCATAATTGCCCTAGGTGGTGAGGAGGAGGCTACACTCCAAAGTGTGGTTGGGGGGTGGTACTAACATGAACAAGCTGAAGCCTCACCACTCAGGAAAATGAGCAGATGACCTGTGCGAATTGAAGGCAGTGTAACCCAACTCACAGTCACCCTGCAGGGATTTGTCCCTGGGCTTTCTCAAGCTGCAAATCTTGTCAAAGTAGACAACCTCATCTTTCTCCCATGTGGAAGGAAGCTGGTGGACTCGAACTACCAACCTTTTGTTTAGCAGCCAGATGCTTAACCCACTGTGCCACCAGGACTCCTTAGAGGTGATTCAGGGGAGTTCCAAACTGGAAAAGTTCTACCTGCCAACTCCCACTCAACCCACCTCCACTGGAAGGAACATGGGACAATGTCTTGATTCAGCAACACTGAGAGGCGGGTTGGGGTTCCTATCTCAAGCTTGGTTGCTAAACCACTGTCTCTGGGTCCTAGGGCTGCCCTAATAAAACACCACACGCTGGGTGACTTATGAGAACAGACATCCACTGTCTCAGCTCTGATGGCTGGGAGTCCAAGTCAGTACACTGAGGCCTCCTGAGGACTCTGAGACAACCTGTCTCATGCCTCTCTCCCAGATTCTAACTCCCTTCCTGTTTCCCCATCTCCTCTCTTTTATAAGGATTACTGTTGTCGTGTGCCATCAAGTCAACCAACTCACTGACTCTATCTGATGGAGTTGAACCGATCCACAGAGTCTCCTTAGCTGTCAATCTTTATGGGAGCCGATCATTAGGTCTTTCCTCCCAAAGAGCAGCTGGTGAGTTTGAACCCCCAACCTCTCTACTAGGAGCCTGTGTTTAACTTTTGTGACACCAGGACTCCTTCATATAATATTAGGAATGCATACTGCTATACAACTGCATGCTAACCTAACTGAGAACATCTCAAAAGACTCTGTCTCCCAATATGATCACTTTCACAGGTTCTAGAGGTTAGGGGTTCTTTGGGGTTGTTGTTAGGTGCCATTGAGTCCGTTCTGACTCTCGCACCCCACATACAACAGAACAAAACACTGTCTGACAGTTGTTACATCTGAGCCCACTGTTGTAGCCACTGTATCAATGCATTTCGTTGAGGGTCTTCTTTCGGTTGTTGTTTTGTGCTATTGAGTGGGTTCCAACTCATAGTGATCCCATATAGGGTTTCTGAGAGCAGCTTGTGAGCTTGAACTGCCGACCTTGCAGTTAGCAGTCCAGAAAGCTTATCCTACACACTTTGAGGAAAGGGGAAAAATTCAGTCCATCACAGCAGTATTTGCAGCAGAAACAGTCTCAAGAAATAGGCTGACCAGGTGTGTTGTAGAGCCTTCGAGGCTGCCTCCCTGCGGTCACCCTCGGGGACCCAGCGCCAGCCATCAGCACCTGTGTGAGACTCAGGCCCAGGCAGTCCCCAGGGATCCTTGGGT